ATCATATAACGATCATCCGAGAATGCGAATAGAATGACCCGAAACACAGAAATAATATACTAGTTATACGGCGTAGTCCCTCCTTCTCTAGGAAGAACACATTTTAGCCCTTGCCGTAGAGTCATGCTGTGGCTGTTTGTGCTGCTCTGTGCACGTTTCACGTCGCGAGCATCTCTCCCCTTCATACCCTAAACGCTCCGCGACGCTGTTTTGATAAATACGCACGTTCGTTGCGCGTTTCCGCAGCAACGGTTCCCTCTGCTGCTTAACCCGCGTGCGTACGACCATGCACGCTAGCGGGCTATGCGAGCAAGTTTGTAAACCACTTGGCCAAAACGCAATGCAATTTAGTGTGAAACCGCGCACGCACGCATCGCCGTCTTTCTCCGACAGCCTTCGGAGACGGAAACGGGCATACGCATACTCACTCACACACGCCTGCACGCATACACGAACGCATGCACACACACACACACACACACGACAGCACACAACTTACAGCACACATAAACCCCACACAACACACACACCCACATCGACATTAATATAATACTCAGTATACATCACACAGCACACACACACACACACACCACACACACACACACCGCACACACTACATACACACACACGAACCCACACACTACAGCACACAAACAAACACCGCACTGCACGCGACAGCGCACACGCACATCGCACACGCACACGCACACGCACGACTACACACACGACCACACACACCAATTGCCACACACATCGCCACACACAAACACAAACACACAGCACAACACACACACACACACACACACACACACACACACACACACACACACACACACACACACACACACACACACACACACATATATATATATATTTATATATATTACATACATACCTATATATACCTATATAGAATTATATATATAGAATTGGGGATTATATCGAGACTACTAGAGTGGTCGGGCAGTAAGTCTCTATATTGACAAAGCATTTCCGAGTGATCAGCATGTCCTCGGGCGAGCATGGCTTCTATGCCTGCCACTGCATTACTGCGTAGGAAGCTGCATAGTATTCAATCACCTGCTTCTTGTGCAGCATCTTCCGGCGATGCGAACAGCTTCCAATGTAAAGAGACTACGAGATAATTGAGTCACGCGCGCATGCGCACACAGGCACTGACACGCACGTACATGAATATATATGTACACACACATACGCGGGCGCGCACTCACACTCACACGCACACACACACCCGCGCGCGTGCGCGCACACACACACACACACACAAACAGACACACACACACGCACACACACACACACACACACACACACACACACACACACACACACACACACACACACACACACACACAACAGTCCACCACACGCGCACAGGGAACAAATGTCCGCCATGAAATGTAATCTAACATCGTGAGTAGGTTAAGGGTTCACACTGGGAAATGCTTTCCCTAGGCGACAATACGTTACGAAAAAAAATCGCATTAAAATCAGCAGAGTTTTTTTTGAAGCAAATTAATATTATGCCATTCTCTGAAATCCAGAGTCCGCAGTGCCCTAGCGGCCCGGGCCCGCGGCCGCCGCGCGCGGCGCCGCGGCATATATGTTATGTAGACAAAAAAATTCTTCCATAATTTCTCTTGTCAACAAACATTTTCCAGCACACACTAGAAATTGCCAATTTACAATGTAAATCTACGCAAAAAGTAGGCTTTCTTTGAAAATTCATGGGCTGTCCCAGCAACGCACCTCGGACGAGCCGTTTACATTGTCGGATTCAGAATAGAGTGTCTAGTTTCTGAAATTAACAATTGCAAACAGTATGACTTCTTTTCTAATGAGAATAAAAATTCTAAGGCGCATGCAGACATTCAAAATACGATCTCATTCCGGACCTATCCCAGCGCCGATTGGGCGGATTTGCCATCGTCATACCGTCTTACCGTCTAACATCGTGAGTAGTAACAGCTTTTATCATGCGCTCGGCCTCTGCACGCAAACACGCTTAAGGCGAGCAAGCAACAGGATATCATTGGGCACCTGAAGCATTACATTGATTAGTAATACTTCTCGGTGGCCACTAGGAATGATATAGAAACTAGAAGGCAATATAGAATCAATATATTCGATTATGAATTGCCGCCGACAATCTGCATGACTGATATTTGAAATGACCCCCAAGTAACTACTGTGCCTATAGTCGAAAAGATCCCATTGGATTCCTTGCAGAC